AGCACTCCCACCGCCAATCACAACACGGCAAACCGAGTCAGGAAAAGGCCAACTCAGGCATGGAGAACCAGCAGGTTGCGGCAGAAAGCCACTATGAAGCACTCGAAAGTATGTCGGCTCACTACAACAAAGTGCTCAGCTACTCAAAAGAAGTTGAGCACAAGATGAATAGTCGTCTCCTGGGCCAGAAGCAGCAGATCGAAGAACTGGAGACTCGGTTACAGCAGTATCAAGCACGTTATCAGAAAGACTGTGACCGCCGGGTGCAGTCGAACTCAGAGCTTTCTCTTTTACAACATCAGAGGGACGAGCTCTCCCAGAATCTAGCTCAACAAGGCGGACGACTGCATGGACTAGAACAGAAAGTGGCCGACCTGCAAGCTGAGAGAGAAACGCAAGAAAAAGAAGCGACTAGATTGCACCAAGAGCTGGAGGTCACACATTCCAAGCTCGACAAGTTTCAAGAGAAAAGCCGCTCGTACAAGGATCACCTCAATAAGGCTGTTGCAGAACACCAACAACTCTGGCAAAATTCGAGAGATATCACCGAAAACACCATCAATAGCATGAGAAAGGAGCATCAAGAGGCGGAAGAGAAGTTCAAGTTGGCCATGGCAGAGAAACAGGCTGCCCAGGATAAGTTGAATCTCATTTCCAAACACAAGCAGGTATTTCTCCAGCAGGAAGTGGCAGCGGGTAAGCAGATTCGATTCGAAGAGTAAGGTCGCTGAACTGACACTGAGAAGCGGCATCAAAGATCAGAGACTTGACGTCAGCCCTGGACAATCTTGAGAAAGATTTCGATTTTGAGGCACAGAGAGCCAAGAAGTTGGAAGAAAAGCTCCTCGACGTGGGTGCCTTGAATGGTCTGCTGCGCCAGATCGATGAGAATGTGGCTGGAGTCTGCTCGGAGGTGGACAATATGCAAGCGCGCTCTCTCGAAGCGCCCGCTGTGCCGTCCGAGGTCATGAGAAGGTACTTTCCAATTGCCCTCGTGTCGTCCGTTTGTAACTGACTTTTGCAGGTTGGACGAAATTGCGGGCCACGTGCAATGTTTCCCTCAAGTCAACGTAGAAGATGAGCTTCAGCGAGCTCTGGAGACCTTTCAAAAGGAAATGATGCCACAGTAGGTGCCCGCTGATGTATTCTAACTTCCCAGCTGACATATGTCCAGACTTTTGGAGGAGTTGAAATCCACTATGACTGGTCAGCCCATCGAAGAAAAACTGCAAAGTCTACAGGAGACGCTCCAGAAACAGTCGTTATCGATGGAGGCGGAGCGCGAACATCGTCAGGAACAGTTGATGCTACAACTTTCGGAGAGAAAGGACGAGAACAGCAAACTTGCACAGGATCTTCTGGCCAAGGATGCTGAAATCGCAGATATGTCCAACTGTGTTTCTGAACTTGGTCAAAAACTACGAGAGGCGAGAGACTCTGCAGAGTTGGCATCAAAGAGGGCATCAATCATGGAAGAAAGGCTCCGAGAGTTACAGCAAAGCCTCTCAAGCAAGGATTGTCAGGTCGCAGAGACGCAGACTGAGCTTCAGCTCCAGCGACAAGGGCACGAGACCAAGATCCGAGAGCTTCAGGAGAAGTTACGGATTGCCGAGGAAAGTGGCCATCTGCAACGACAGCTAGCCGAAGAGACGGAGAAGAATCTCGCAAAAAGGACCGAGGAAGATAACGAAACTCAAACACGGCTGAAGAGCTCGGAAGAATCTCTGCACCAGGCTCAGCAACAGTGGGCAATGGCCGAGACGGAGGTTGAACGCCTCAAGGCCTTGGACAGTGTTACCAGAGCATCGAAACTCGAAAAGGAGTTGGAGAATGCTCATCAAAGAGTCACCAATCTCACACTCAAGCTTCGCGATACGCAGGTCTCGGCTGCTAACAACGGCCAGCTTGATCAGGTAGCCGAACAACTTGCCCAGCTCCAAATACTGAAGGAAGAAGTCAAGCAGCTCAGGTCAAATGGCAAGGCATACGCGGCGGTCAGTAAGGACTTCGCAAAAACACTCGACAGACAAGATGCCACGGGAAACGACGATATTCTGATCCCTGATAGTCTTGTGCTGCCGGAACCAATGCTTCCTATGTTGCTGCAGCAAGATGTTTATGATCCTCTGAACGACTTTCAGCCGAGCTCCTCTGACATGCCGCTGATCCGAGCCAGCAAGCGAACGGTTTTTCGCAGTCCTGTTGAAGAGTCGGAAGATGAGATGCCTGCGCCATCAGTCGAGCAGAAGAAGTCGCAGCGAATGGAGGTAGCCGTTCAGGGATCCAAAATAAGATCGATCCTCCGCCCCCAGAGAACTCCGGCTGCAAAAGCATCGAAAGGAAGTAACGATACCATGGTCGCGCGCCATGCTGGACACTCTTCGTACAACCGACCCGTGCAAAGTGCCCCCAAGTCCAGTCAGGAGGCCATCTTGGGTGTCAAGAACAGCCTTGTGGGCAACCGCGAGGCAAACCTCGGCGATTTCACCAACCCTAACGAATGGGAAAGACTTGACCGACCAGCGAGCTTGTCGGAGCAGCGTGGAACCAAAAGATCTAGCAACGCCCAGCAATGGTCTCGAGGCTCGAAACGGTCCAAACCATGCTTCACCGAGAACGAAGACAATCAGGAGACTTCACAGGCCGCGGGAAGCAATAATGAGGACTGTCTCCGGCCTGAACCGCCGGAGCGCAACCAAAGAGACGGCAATAGGGTGGCTCCGGTAACCGTGGATGATGATCAAGTTTCCCACCATTTCTTCCCAAGCGCTTCCAAGCCGAATGATGGCACACGTTAAGGGAGAGTCCGCAGCTTTAGTATCATCCATCGAGGTTGGTTTTCTTGGACGTGAACTGAGTATTTATGTGGGTGGAATCATGCAGAGGAATATTGCATTTACGCAAGGTTTGTTCTCTTTTGATAGAATATACAACTAGGTCGCGGCCATCGAAGCCTTCGCTTTCTTTCCGCCTCTGGGGCACAGTCCGACGTGCCAATGCCTTGTCCCTGACGATAGGTCTGAGGGACTGCAGGTTGATGATGTACAGTTCATCCATGTGGTCTTCGAGCCCCAATCGTATGCCGCCGTGAACGCCGTTTATGGTGATATCAGTGTTGTTACATATGGTGTTGGTATATCGAGAGTGCGCAGGCTCATTTTCCCTTCTTCTTCTGCTCCAAGAAAAGCACCTTTCGCCGAACTATGAATACGTTAGCCCTGTTATCCCCATCTCCATCTCATGGTATGTATCGATTGGCGCTCGCCCTGGAGACGAGCACCACGTGTGTCGAACCGAGGAGAAAGGGGTCGGCATACTGATTGGGTCGTATTTCAGCAAGCTCATGGGTGTTGCTGTTCGGAGACGCTTGACAGTGTAGAAGTAACCAGTCGCGGCCATGGACAAGAGCCGGACGATCATGACACGGGACTTCGCTGTTGGACACAATCAATTAGCTTGGTGATTTGAAGGAAAGCAGGCAGTGCGCTTGAATGAAGTTCAGCGGGGTTGCATACCTTTCTTGGCCATCTTGAAGGGGAGTTTGCGCCGCTCGCGTTGGATAGCTTGAGGCTTGGACACGGGTGGACGGGATAGCTTCGCAGTATGGAGACTGGAATTTTGCGGGTGGTGAGAGACTGTCGGCGAAAAAAGGGCCGTTCACCGAGATCTGCGTGTCGGTGAGATTTCGGTGTAGTGGACGTGTACTCCAGCATCGCTCGATCTCACCAGATGGTGCCAGCTGGCAAGAAGACACCCATTCGATCGCCTGTCAGTAGATAAACTAGTCTCACTCACTTCTCCTTGAATATCTATCAATAGGAACTTTGCGACGTGATGTTAGTCAAGTGATACATCTTGGAAAGAAGCCAAGCAAAGAGGGGCTAAATGAACCATGGCCGATTGAGGGACTGTAGCACCTTGTAACGTGAGTATCCATACCATGGAACTGCAGCTCGGCTTATGCCAGCCTCCAGCGGTCAAGCTGCGCGGTCAGAAGTCTATGAGATCGTAATCCGAGCAACTGAGATGTTGGTTGGTGGATCTCGTTCAGGGTCCTTTCTCGGTCAATAGCTCTATCCCCGTTGGGGGCCCAGCAACGTTTTTAGAGCTTGCAGGGACCTGGGCACGAAGCGTCACCGCCAACGATGCCTTTTCCCATGTTCGGACGGTGATGGTCTACGACATTCTGGGTTTGGGCTGCTGGAGCTTAGGTGGGATTCTTCTTTTTCTTTGCGCGCCGTTCCCTGCACGCGGCCCTTTTTTCTTGAGGACGAGCCCGCAGTTTAATCGCGAATATCTAGCCACCCCCGACTCCCCCGAGTGGTGGTTCGCCCGCCGACGCCGGGCTTTGAAGGGGTGTGGGCAAAGTGGTTATCTCGCAGCTCGGGTCGCGTTTCTCAACAGATGGGCAGGGCCGTGGCCGTGGCCGGAGAAAGCAGCAGTAGCAGCGGCAGGATGGTGAGGAGGAAGGAGGGTGGGCAGGGCGTAATAATTGGCGTGAGCAGGCAGGATAGGTAGACAAATAAAGAGGAAAGGACATCCCATTCTGTTCCTGTCCTGCCTGCTTTCATGAAGAGTGGTGGTTCAGGAAGGCGTGCACTTTCCCGCGTCGTGGTTCTGAGACTTTCATTTCGCCGTCGATCGACTGCTTTCCTTTTTTCGCATTCTCAGCTAAACGAGATACGTACTTGACGATCCGGAACCGCCTCCATACCGCCGAGAGCAGACGGCGTTTCGTCGTGGAATTCTCTTTCTTCGACACTTTTCGAGTCTCGCATTTCCAGTAACGGAGAATACCAACCGACCCACCGAATACACCGTACACCGAAGCGGCGATTCTCTCTACGAAACACTACATTTGATACGCCAGCCGATCAGCACAATACGTTCGACGATGGCGGCGAACAGAGTGGCTTGCACTGCGGCCAGGTCGCTGGGAGCACCGAAGAGTCAGGCTGCCGCGAGCCAAGTGCGATTGATGAGCAGCGTAGGCAGATCAAATGGTACGTCGCAATGCTGGGCGAATTTTGCTCCCAACTGCTTCAACAAATTCTGTTTGCTTCACATGGGTGTTTGTTCCCAGCCCTGTTCACAAACCAAAAACCATTCCTGTATCGTTGAAAGTGAAAGGTTGGTGCAGCTCGAAGCTATCCCAAGCTCGCTTGTCCAGCACCGCTCAAACGGGACAGCTCCCGTCCAAGCTACCTGACGATTTCCTCCCCCACCTGTTTTCACTCGCCAGCTTACACCGTACGCCACGTCTCTTTATTCGCCATCCTTCACCGAACAAACGGACAAGGCACTTGATCATTTTGCTTTCAAGTTCGATCAAGCGCGCTTTACTCCCACGTGGACCCCCACACTTTCCATTCTCTTGCGGCATGGGCAATTGGAGTTTTTTCATCAAGGCGTCGAGGACTCGGAAACACCCTGGCGGGAGAATCCGTAGAAGCTCTAGCCTCTGGGCGCGCTGACCGGCTTCCCCCTTGTCCTGCCGTCACCGGTTTCGGACACAGGCCTTTGAGGCGAACCCGCGCCAAACACGACCGGGTCTGATCCACGTCTTCGTCTACGACTCACCAGCAAGTGCTCGGCTGGCGTCCCGCACTGGAGGGGGCAAACACAGCCCGTCATGGAAGCCATCCCGCAGCAGCACAGAAACGATGCCACGCAGGGTCATGTCTCGTGCCCCCGAGGTCACAGTACCAGCCTAAGTAGGCTGGCGACTGTCAGAGTTATTGAATAAGAGCTTCTGCATCGGACGATGACAGGAAGAAGATGCGCTGATTTCCTGTCAACTTTGCCGTCTTGTTCTTCCCTCTGTCCGTTTAATCCATCAACTAAACATTGCGCACTGTTGTAACGGCCCCCGCGTCCGAGACTTGGTTGCTTGTCGATTGCCCTTCGTTGACGAAGAGCTAAATAAATAGCACTTGAGGTGGCTGCGTACGTTTTCAGGGTTTTCTTGAGACTCATTCTTCTTACCTTTTCTCTCAGCATTTCCAACTCCTTTTCTTCTTTGCTCGGCTCTTCCCCGTGTTATCGATCCCAGTCCAGGTGTTTTTCTACCTTGATCTCCACTGTTGCGCGGCAGAAGCCCTTTTACTAACTTTTATATGACTCTTGCACAGATACCCCGCGGTCCCCTAAGATCTTCCTCTCCAATACCCCGCCATCTCAAAGGCAACTTTTCTTCAGCAGCAGCAACAGCCGTTCGTCACCCCACCATCGAACCATGTCTACCACACCGAGCCGTCGGCTGAATGTGCACAACATCAACCAGCATGTTGTTGCTGCCGAGTACGCCGTTCGCGGCGAGTTGGCCGTGAAGTCGGAGGAATACCGAGCGAAGCTGTCCAAGGGCGACAAGGACCTCCCCTTTGACGCCGTTATCTCGGCCAACATCGGCAACCCCCAGCAGCTCGACCAGAAGCCCATCACCTTCTTCCGCCAGGTTGTCAGTCTTCTCGAGAACCCCCTGCTTCTCGAGCACGAGGATGTTTTGCAGAACCAGCTCGGATACAAGAGCGATGCCATCGCTCGCGCCAAGTTCCTCTTGAGCAAGGTCGGCTCTGTTGGCGCCTACAGTGCCAGTGCTGGTGTTCCCGCTATTAAGGAGAGCATTGCAAAGTTTATTGAGCGTATGTCCTCATCTGCCTTCACCTTGGGCCGAGTGTGAAAACTGACAAAGATCTCTGCAGGCCGCGACGGATTCCCCGCCGATCCCGCCCACATTTACCTCTCTGGCGGTGCCTCTTCCGGAGTCAACACCCTTCTTCACATCATCGCCCAGAACGCTCAAAGCGGTGTTCTTGTGCCCATTCCTCAATACCCTCTCTACACCGCAACGCTATCAGTTCTCAACGCCACCTGCGTTCCCTACTACCTCGACGAGGCCGCGGGCTGGGGTACCGACCTGAACACCATCAAGGCTGCCTACGAGAAAGCCACCTCCGAAGGCACCGATGTCCGCGCTATTGTCATTATCAACCCCGGCAACCCTACCGGTGCCTCCCTGTCTGAGGATGACATTCGCGCCGTCTACGACTACGCTGCGGAGAAGCAGCTTGTGGTGATGGCTGACGAAGTCTACCAGACCAACGTCTTCGTTGGCAAGTTCCACTCCTTCAAGAGCGTTCTGCGCAAGCTGCAGAAGGAGACCCCTGGCAAGTACGACGGTGTCGAACTCGCTTCCCTGCACTCTATTTCCAAGGGTATGGTCGGCGAGTGCGGTCACCGCGGCGGCTACTTCGAGCTCGTCAACTTCGACCCCGAGGTCGAGGCCAACATTTACAAGTTCGTCTCCATCACCCTCTGCGCTCCCGTCATCGGCCAGTGCATCGTCGAGCTCATGGTCAACCCCCCCAAGGAGGGCGAGCCGAGCTACGAGCTGTACAAGAAGGAGTACGACGGCATCTTCAACGGCCTCAAGGAGCGCGCCACCGCCCTCCACAAGGCCTTTGACCAGATGGAGGGCGTCGAGTGCGGCGCGCCCCAGGGCTCCATGTACCTGTTCCCCACCATCAAGCTTCCCGCAAAGGCCACCGAGGCTGCCCAGAAGGAGGGCCGCACCGCCGACGAGTTCTACTGCATGCGCATGCTCGAGGCCACCGGCGTCTGCGTCGTTCCTGGCAGCGGGTTCGGTCAGAAGGAGGGCACCCTGCACTTCCGCACTACTTTCCTCGCCCCCGGCACCGACTGGGTCGGCCGCATCATCAACTTCCACAAGGACTTCATTGAGAAGTATCGGTAAGCGAGTTTGGTGCAGCAGCTAGTCGATTTTTCTTGTGCGGGGACCTTGAAGGTGCGAGGTGGCCTGTCGCGTTGGATGATAGCGCGGCTGGGAATACCTAGGTATGAAACGAACGAATTTGCGTAGTCTTTTTCCGGAACCACGTATCCAGGGCGGATAAAAGCAGATATCGATGAGCACGTACGAGGCGTAGGGTAGATATCTCGTTTGTTTTAGCAAGATCTCTGGGATTTGGCAGGTGTCGATGACACTTTATGAGCATAGCTTGCGAGAATAGAAAGATTCCGCTCCCATCAATTCTGCATCCAGACCTTTCACAGTCATCTCATGTGGGCCTCGGCCAAGCCAAGATTCCTCAAATTGGCTTGTCTAATCCGCAGGTATCATACAGAGAGTTATTGTAGTAGCACACATTTGCTTGCCCCAATCCCCGGTTTCTATTCGCCGCCTGCCGTTTCTAGCTCGCGCCTTTCAAAGTCCCAAGCCTGACTAAGGGACACACGATTGTAAAAGCATTGTGGTAAAAAGCTCTCCGTCATTCTTCCAGTCGCCTCGCTCTTTGGCTGATTATGCCCGCTCGCTTCCTCTCAAACGCACAGCCTGGCCGTACTTCTGGAGCTTGGTGATGAGCTGATCGCCCTGGCGGACGACGTCCTGGTACTGCTTGTTCTTGTCGTCGGGGCGGTTGGTCTCGATGACGCCCTTGCCGCTGACGCGGTCGATTGTGCAGGGGATGCGACCCGCTGCGATGAACTTGGCGAGGTCACTGGAGATGAAGTTAGATGTCTGATCTGACCGATGCAGCTGAAAGGGAGAGAATCATACCGGTCCAGGAAGTCAACAGTGACGCCAAAGTCGGTCGCCATTGTCTCCAGGCCAACCACACGGTAGCTCTGGAGGAGCTGCTGGTAGGCGCGCAGACGCATCTCACGGATGAACCAGTTCTTGTGCTCGTGGAGGTAGCGGTCCTGGGTGAGGAACGACTCCTCAACCTGGGCGAGAGCCTGGAAGAAATACTTGTACTGGCCGTTGTACAGGCTGGAGACAAGCTGAGCCAAAGGCGAGAAGTCGATAGCCATCTCGGCCTCGGGCTGGTCGGTGCTTGTTCCGAGAGTTGTCAGGTTCACCGCCGTCTTGGCAGCGGCGGGCGGTGCGTCGTGCATGGCGTCGTCGGCACCGGGACCGGCGCTGAGAGCACCAGACAGAGCGAGGAGCTTGTCCTCTCCATCACCCAGAATGGCCTTGATCTCGGGGGCGTCGACAACCTTGCTCTTGAAGTCGACACGCTTCAGGGACACAGATCCGGCGAGAACGGAGTAGACGACGAGGGAGGAGTAGGTGCAGAGTTCGTAGCTGGTGAAGGTGGACAAGCTGTCGAGCAGGAGCGGGGCGGCCAAGTTGTATGACCGGACGGTCAAGAGGTAGATGCCCTCGTACGCCTTGAGACGGTTGCGACGATCCCAGTCACCACCGGACTCGACCAGGGTCTTTGCGCGCTCAACATGCTTCTTGACAAGAAGCTTGTCGCCGTAGAAGAGCCCCATGCGGATTATTGCGAGAACCAAGTCGATCTTGGTGCCCAGGATGCCGGTCTTCTCGAAAACGTCTTCGTATGCGGCGATCGCCCGGTCCTGTCAAAGGTGTCAGTCAGTGTTTCCTTGGTGAGTTGGTCGTCCTTCCAATCGCACCTTGTCACCGACTCTGGCCCAGAACTCCGCGCGCTTGCCCCGCGCGGCCTGAATCTCCGTCTCGCCAGCCTTCTCAACGGCCTCATCCTCTTCCTTTTGGAACTCTTCCAACTCCTTGTCGTTGTCGGCCTTCAGCTCTTGGTACCTGGCCTCATCCCAGGGTAGGTTGACTGCGGTGGGGGTGGTCTTGGTGGCAATCATGCCGGCCAGACTCGACTTCCGACTCAGCGGCTTGCCGGGGGTCTGACTGCCACCCTCGCCAACTTGGTTCAGAATACCCTCAAGGGGGTGTGCGAGGTACCGGTAGAGCGGTGCCATCTTGTGCTCGGTGATGGCATCATTGAGAGCTTTCGCAGCGGATTGTTGAGATGGCCGGGATGCGTAGGCGTTTGTGAGGGCGAAGACATGCTGGGCGAGAGGAAGGAGAGGGTACTTTGCGTACTGGGGTTCTGAGCCCATCTTGACGGTTGATTGTACGAAGGCGTCTGGAAAGGGTCGTGGTCGGTTGCTGAGGAGGGGAGAAATCAAAGAGGTTGAGGCTGCGGGATGGGTTACTGGGTGAGCAAGAGTGATGTCGTTGTATGGTGGTGTTTGGAGCTGGGAGCTCAGGAAAGCCCCCTGCAACCCGCAAGCGTCTGGCCAGAGGCTGACGTGATTGGTCTGCTGCCGGGGGTGAGCTTAGTCAAGCCAGCAAGGCTGCAGTGCGACACGTACCGGGCCTGCCTGCAAGCACGAGACAGCCCGCACTGCGCCTACCTACTTAATTGAAATGCCGAATTGCGTTCAAAATATTTCCATGTCAAGTTGGCTATATCCAAACATAAGCAGCATATATGAGGAGACAGCATAGTAATCATGAATATTGTTCTTTGGGTCCAGACTGAGAAAGAGCGTTCGTTTCTAACACCACACCTTCCGTACATTTAACGAATCCATAGGTGGGTTTTACCTTCCTCAGCAGGTACCCCAGTACACTCCCCCTACCTCTTGCGACGCTTCGCAACAGCAACTTCTGTTCCTCTCCAACAGTTCGCATCAACTTTCTCACACCCGTACTTTCACAATCAAATTCTGGAAACAAACACAACAGCCTGCAATCCCCCCGGGAGACGAGAATATTAGCCTTTACAAACAAAGAATTCTCACGTCTGATTCGAGACAATGGCGGGCTACGACGACGACGATTCGTACGAGCGAGAGTCTCATTCATACGACGCGAAGAAACGCAAAAGATCACAATCGCCCTCGAGAAACGGCAATTCCTCGCGAAGAGGCACCAAGCGCGAGGATGGAACCGATGAACTTCCCCAACCCTACAATGCGAAGGAGCTTCAGCCCGCTAAGCGCCGAGCCGTCTCTCCCTCCGAACAGCCTCGCAAGCAGAAGCGACCGGGTGCCCGAGCTCGCATATCCGAGTCTGAAAGAGAGGCCATCCGCCAGAGAGCACTCGACAGGGAGAAGGAGTTGGAAGCTGCGGCCCACGCTGCAGCTGAGCGTCAGCGCGGCACCAACAACGATGTCGTCACGCAGCATTACAACAGTGTACCAGAGCGCGGTAGGGACTGGAGACGAACCGACAGCAAGATCAAGGGCCTGCGCGCTTTCAACAACTGGATTAAGAGTTGCATCATTCAGAAGTTCTCGCCAGATGAAGACTACACCCCGGGCTCTCGTGAGCCGGGCGCAAAGGAGTTACTCGTGCTTGACGTCGGTTGTGGAAAGGGAGGTGACCTTGGCAAATGGCAGCAAGCACCTCAATCAGTAGAGCTCTACGTCGGTCTCGATCCTGCGGATATCAGCATCGACCAGGCTCGAGAGCGTTACCGCCAGATGGGTAGCCGCGGAGGCGGTGGCAGGGGTGGTAGAGGAGGATACAGGCGGCCACCTCCTCGGCTTTTCGAGGCACGCTTCCAGGTCAAGGACTGCTACGGCGAGAACATTGAGGACGTTGAGATCATCAGACAAGTCGGATTCGACACTAGCCCTCTCAGCCGACGAGGATTCGACGTGGTGAGCATGATGTTTTGCATGCACTATGCCTTCGAGACGGAGCAGAAGGCTCGGACCATGCTGCGCAACGTGGCAGGCTCATTGAAGAAGGGAGGTCGCTTGATCGGTTGTATCCCCAACTCTGACGTCCTTGGTGACCACGTTCGCAAGTTCAACGAGCAACAGGAAGAGAAAAAGAAGAAGGCCGCAGAGGAACCGCCGCAGGAAGCAGAGGAAGGCGAGTTGGAAGATGGCGAGGCAGACCAGTCGGCAGAGTGGGGCAATTCCATTTATCGAGTCCGATTCCCGGGCAAGACACCTGCAGATGGCGTCTTCCGCCCGGCATTCGGTTGGAAGTACAACTTCTTCCTCGATGAAGCTGTCGAAGAGGTCCCCGAGTATGTTGTGCCATGGGAAGTCCTCAGAGCTCTTGCTGAAGACTACAACCTCGAGTTGCAGTACCACAAGACCTTTATGGAGATTTGGGACGCGGAGAAGGATGACGAGACCTTGGGTCCTTTGAGTGAGAGAATGGGGGTTCGGGAACGCGGCGGTGGACGTCTCCTTGTTTCACCAGAGGAGTTGGAGGCGGCGAGCTTCTACACTGCTTTCTGCTTCTACAAGGTTTAAATAGGGGGAATTGGCATGAGGACATGAGTGTCAGGTCTAGTAGGGATTCTTAGGATATCTCTAGAATCTGGTTCAAAGTACGAATTTCGAGCTCGACATGGTCGCGAATAGGGCCAATTGTGTTGCTTTGACCAAGGCTCATTGTGGTACTGTACACTGGCCCCTCTTTGCATGCCATTCATCCCGATCCACAGATCCCTTCCCAGCCTGATCAGTCCAGCGTATCGGTATATTCGCGGCTGAACCGTCAATGGTAGGACGAAACCGTCAAACATCGCCATGAGCAACGCTCTGGTATGGTTCCCTGGGCTTCTTTTCAACAAATCGATAAACTTCGCTGAAAGTCTGCGTTCGTCCATCCACAGTTGTTGGCCAAGATCTTCACCCCACCAGTAGTCGGAGCCAAGACGATTGACATGGCGTCCATAAGCGTGGGCTTCTACAAGGAGTCTTAGTAGAGCCAGTGTATCGACCTGGGTCGCTGGCCAGCCGAGGCTAGTTGTCTTGGATGTGATGCCGATTTGGGGTTCAGCCGAAGGGTTGGATGCGTCGTGGACCTCGACACCGATCAACTTGTAGTCGCAGACCCTATTTCAAAGCCAGGCTCGGGGAGGGGCTCGACATACTCGCGTCAAGTACGCCGTTGTCGCCGTTGTGGCTCGTTGGGGGCCTGGTTGTTCTGGGGAGGGGCCTGGTTGTTATCTTCGCCCTCGTAGGGGGCCTAGTCGTTGCTCTTTGTCCCGTAGGGGTCGTTTGGGTCGTAGCAAGCTCGACATAGTCGTTATTGTACTCGGGACGACTGTCGCGTCGATTGAACAGTCGTGACTCGTTGGTCATGCTGGCACAAAAGCGTTCAATGATCTCGGCACTTTGTCGGTTTTGCGTAGCAATGGCCAGGCTCATCTCTGTCAGATGGCTGACGTTGGTCGCTTGAGAGTTCTGCTGTGGTGGCATTGGCCTCAGCATATGCCTCGGCATTCGCCAGTTTCCTGGTGGTCTGTCGCCCATTTTCTGACTTTTAGGATTTTGACTAGAGAAATTGAATGGAAAGAACGGTGGGTGAGAAGAAGAGAAAAATCACAACAAGATATCTTATCGAGACGACCTAGGAGGCAAGTGCTAAATATAGGTCCGATGGGAAGATAATGCTTTACTTTTAACCCCAGCTCTTTCCCTACTATTCTTCGTTCTTTACTTTTTAAAGAGTATTCTCTAGTGAATATATATAAAATAGAAGTGACAGTAGTGATAGTAGTAATAGTAGTAATAATAGTAATAGTAGTAATAGTAATAATAATAATAATAATAATAATAATAATAATAATAATAATAATAATAATAATAATAATAATAATAATAATAATAATAATAATAATAATAATAATAATAATAATAATAATAATAATAATAATAATAA